CTCATGCATTCTCCTTCTGCCTCAGGGTCTTCAGGTGGCCGTTTTTTTTTTTTTTTTTATAAAGACACCAGTCCTAGTGACTGCCTTGTCCCCACTCCGGTATGCCCTTGTACCTTAACAAATGGTGTCCGCAGTGACCCTGTTTCCAAATAAGGTCACACACCGAGTTTCTGAGCTTAGGACCTCAACCTGTCTTTGTATTTATTTTTGGTTGGCGGAGGCGGGCAGGGCGAGGGGGACACGGTCCAACCCATGTCACCTCTTTTTTTATTCCCACTTTCCGGGCAAGAGGACATTACCTCCAAGAGCTTGAGTCACACGGCAGGGGCACCCCATTGTCAGGAGTGGAACCCAGATCTGGTCAACTTTTTTCTTCTAGTGCAGAGTAATGCCTCCTGTTTGTGAATCTACTCACAAACTGTAAATCAGAGAAATATAAAGTGGTTCATGTTTAGTTATCATTTTAACAAGTTACTTTTATTGAGAATGATTTCCTGAAAGGGCAGATTCATGGAAACAAAAGGCAAAAAGGAAAGGAAAGGAAAAAACCCCCACAGTCGGGAGTGCTCTGTTCCAGATGCCTGTGCTCTCTGGGGCTCAGCCCTCACTGGTTCCCGTGCTGGAGATTAATGGGATGACTTTGCCATTTCAGCGCTATTTGGATATCTGCAGGGACGAGCTGATAGATTATGTGAACTTGGTCATTTATTCCCCCTCAAGTGCCTGTGATTTTCCCCCTGTTTTACATACCTAACCTCCCCAGCAGCAGCAGGATTTGAAGGCAAGGTGCTGGCTGAGGCAGGTTGGCGGTAAGGGCACTGATGAGGTCCGCAGGGTGACAGATGCCAGGGGTGGGCCTGACCGTGCTGTTGGTCACACCCTGCACGTGTGGGGGAAGAAGGAACCCGAACTTGCCCCAGACAGGGAGGAATCGGACTCATTGTCCATTTCCTGACCACGGAGCTCAGCCGGTTCATCAGGTCAGTGTGTAATGCGCCTGTGTAGAAATGTCCCTCCAGGACATAAAGGAGGGACTGTGTCTCTCTTCCCCCCTTCCTGTTGACAGATGAGGAAGCAGAGGATGGTCTGTTCATCTAAAAAGCCTTTGAGCACCTGTTGTCTGAGACATTGCAGACTGATGTCTGGCCTGGAGGGAGGGACAGAGAGCAGGTGACACCTCATTTAAAATCCCAGGCTACGGTCAGATCCCAGCTGTCTTCCAAGGGACCCTCTCTCTCCCGCCCTCCCCTGGGCGGTCTCTCTGGCGGGGACAGAAATGTCCTCCTCCCAAGCCCTGACTTGCTGTGGTACATGGGAAGAGCCGCTTTGGAGCGACAGGCATGGGCATGGACTTGGTCTAAACCTCCTAGCTGGGTGGATTCAGGCCAGGTGGCTGGAGTATTGATACATTAGTGCTACCCTGATGGCAAGGGACAGAAGCCCATCCTGAACCAGACTAAGCTAAAGAAGAAAATGGGTTGTCTTGTCAACCAGCTGCAGAACGGACTGGAGTTTCAGAGGAGCGATTTGTGCCCTTTCTCTGTCTCCGACTTTGATCTCTGCTTGCCTCTGTCTCAGCTGCACCTTGCTCTGGGCTCGCAGACTGCCGATGTCATAATCCAGGGAAGGCAGATGGCTTTCTCCTGTCTTTGATCTGTAAGATTCCAAAGTGTGGGCCCCATGCCCTTTCCTGGAGCAATCAGTTAGTCACTGGCTGGTGGGAGGGACAATGTAATTGGCGGGTCAGGTCTATTAATAGAAAAATAGGAAGAGGGGGCGCTTTGAAGATGCAGACAATATCGTTACACTCCAGAGTGGACACCCACATGTACGCTCTCACTGTTGTTACTTCGATAACACACATTTCATCTAGCACGGTCCACTGTCCCACATATAGCCAAATGTCCCCCCCCCCCCCAACTTAGGTGAGACCATCCCACACCACAGCATGTCTGGCTTCAAGCCCAGCATCTCAGGAACATTAGCAGTTTTCTCAGTCAGGTCTCGGTGTGGCTCTTAGTGACCCTGGGGCCAAAAGGAAGTGGACCCTCCCCACGTTTAAAATGGTTGGAGACCAGACCTGGGCTTCAGTAACAAACGAGAACCTTACAGGGTATCAGAACTTGGGCAGATTCCATAGCTTCTAATTCTACTGAGAAAAGAGGAAAAACATAAGTAACGTGAGTGGTGACCAGTCAGAACATACCCCATAGGCCGAAACTCAGACCCACTTCTAAGGCAGGCAGGTGTCATGGTCATTGGAATTGGCTTCCTCATCAATGAAATGGGTCAATAAGCGTGTGACAATATGAATTTTAAAAAATAGTGCTAAGCAAAATAAGCTAGAGAAAGACACCGTAAGATTTCACTTGTATGTGGCATTTGAGAAACAGCAAAGAAGAAAAGGAGAGAGAGGCAAATCAAGAAACCGACTCTGAACCACGGAGAACAAACTGATGACTGCCAGAGGGGAGGTGGGTAGAGGGATGGATGAAACGGGATTGGGGGTTAAGAGTACGTTTATCAGGATGAGCAGTGAGTAATGTACAGAACTGTTGAATCAGGGGCACCTGGGTGGCTTAGTCGGTTAAGCGTCCAACTCTAATCTCAGCTCAGGTCTTGATCTTAGGGTTGTGGGTTCAAGTCCTGCACTGGGCTCTGCACTGGGCATGAAGCCTACTTTTTAAAAGGGCAGAAGGGGATGCCACCTGGGTGGCCCAGTTGGTTAAGTGAGTGACTCTTGATTTTGGCTCAGGTCATGATCTCACGGTTCTTGAGTCTGAGCCCCATGTGGGGCTCTGTGCTGACAGCAGCAGAGCCTGCCTGGGATTCTCACTCTCCTCTCTCTGCTCCTACCCACTCAGGCTCACCCTCAAAATAAATAAACTTAAAAATTTGCTTAAAAAAAAAAAAGAATTGTTGAGTCACTATACTGTACGCCTGAAGCTCCTATTAACATTGTAGGTTAACTGAACTGGAATTAAATTTTTAAAAATGTTTAAAAATTAAAAAGGAGGAATGGCCCATAGTAGAGAGCATATAGTAGATGCTCAATACACACCCCCACCCACCCACACTATCTTCTGATCTGACAACTAAGACCTCATGTTGCCAAAAAACCTTCTTCCTCCTCCTCCTCTCCCTCCTTCGCCCGCCCTCCTGTCTCTTCCTCCTTCCTTCTCTCTTCTAAATTCTCTTTTCTCTCCCCCCCCAGTCTCTTTTCCCCCCTCCTCTCATCCCTTCTATAGTATGTCCCCGGACACTCTGCCGTTTAGTGAATTATTGGCCTAAAGTTAGTGTGACGCCCTCAGCAGAGGGTCTGCCCCCAGCTCAGGTGCGGACAGCGCCCACACCCAGTCGGGGCTGGGATTCCCGTCTGCGACAGCAGGGACATACATTTGTGAACAAGCACGGCGACAAGGTGTGGGCTTCTCCAGAGCTGTCACCATCTGACGTGCCCGCTGCAGGGGGGCCCCCGCTTCCCTCTAAAGAAGGACTGTTCTTAGTCAACCATATCACCTCTGTCTTCGAAAAGCAGTTCGGAGCCATCAGGACAACACACGTCTCCAGCGGGGCTGACAGATTCGGCGCTTAGCAGGCCAGCACCGTGGGGCACGGCTGCTCAGGAGCGAGCCCACGCCCTTTGCCAGACCCTGCCCTCCACCATGGGTGAAGGGGTCACCAGCCCATGGCCGAAACAGACAGCAGGCCAGCCGGGGCAAGTGGTCAAGGGGCACGGGGTACTTTCTGCAGTCATTTCCCCATGGGGGCTGTTTAATCCCGAGGGCTGACTGAGTCCTGTGCTCACTTCCGAGTGGAATAGTGGAGACTGTGCTGGCTTGGGGTCCCCTAGACCTGGGCTTCAATCTTTGTTCTGCCGCCAGCAAGCCATGGGTTTCGGGCCAGACATGTGACCTTTCTGGACCTCTGTTGAGCCCTCTAAGGGCACGAACACGCCAGTGCAGCTCACTATTCACGTGGGTCCTCGCAAGGATCTTTGGATTTCAGAAGTTGGCAGTGGTTCAGAACATGGGCTCTGCAGCCAGATCGCCCGGTCCACCCTCGCTATGTAGGTACAAGCCGTGTTTCCTTGGGCAAGTGACCTCACCTCCCTGGGCCTCAGTTTCCTCTTCCTTATAGAGTGGGAATACCAGTAATTACCTTTTAGGATCATTGTAAGGATTCAGTGAGACAGCGCACGTCCAGATTATAATAATGATGAGAATATACGGGGAAAGACTTGGATAAACTGTAAAATGTGGTCTTCATGTGAGATTACTGTTTACCCTGAAGTACAGGAACACAGCTCCTACTTTGAGAAAACGGGTATGGTTTATTACTGGTGGTTTACGTCATTTAAAATCTTCATTTGGATGAAAGCACACTCCCCTTGGCCCGCATGTAGGCAAACTGTAAAGTAGCTGCACAACACAGTGAATGGCCAGTTTCTCGTTCCACTCATTTTACTTTTGTGCCTGTCGTGTGCCAGACACTATGGTAGAAACATTGACACAGATCGTTCCATTTTGATGGGTTAGTATTTTCTAACCCAGTGCCTTTGAGATCTCCAAGTCCACAGGTCCAAGGAAAAATAAACATCTTAAGGCAGCTTGTAGAAACGACAACACGCTAACAGCTGTGTTCAGCTCTTCAGGGCTGTCTTAATATGGGCCTCATCTGCCTGGTGCTTAGGGAATGACCCTGGCTTGGCTTCCTGGGTGTTCAGTTGTCAGGAGGAGAGAGCCCAGGGGCTTGGCCTTAACCCTGGCTACACAGAAGGGTCCCTTCTGCCTCTGCTGGTCTGCACTGCCCTTATGAATCAGGGTCAGCCAGCACACAGGACTTTCAGTCTCTCATTTCTGCTTTTCTGCTCAGAGGGAGCAACTGGTACCAAAAGGTCAAGAAAGCCATATAACCAGAGGGACACTGGTGGCCACTGGTTTGCAAAACCCTTTCTGCTTTGTCCCCAGCCAGATCTGACTTTTCTCCTCTCCCCAAAGCCAAGTACATCGGCTGTTACCTGGATGACACCCAGAGCCGGGCCCTGCGAGGCGTGTCCTTTTTCGACTACAAAAAGATGACCATCTTCCGTTGCCAGGACAACTGTGCAGAACGGTAGGGTTCCGACGTCCCAGGCCCCATTCATTTCAGACCCCTTCCTTCCATGGAAGGGCATAGTGGAGGATGAGCCCATGGCCCCAAGGAAAGTGTGATACAAGGGTGTGTGTGTGTGTGCCTGGGCTTGCGTGCAGGGGAGCAGGGCTGTTTGGGAGTTGGTTTGTGGGAGCGTGTGATCGTGGAGTTGTGTGACACTGTGGCCCGGGTGCAAGTTTGTATGTGCAGCGTGCACGGTCAGCAGGTTATGTTTGTGAGCTTCGTGCACATATGTAATGGTCTTTAAATACTAGTGGCTGTGTGTGCAGGAGACTTTGTGACTCTGTGGGCAAGGGTCCTGACTTGAGCTGGTGTGGGGGAAAAGCCCACAGGTGTGATCTGTGAGTGGGGCTTGTGAGATGTCCATGGGAGGGGTTAGATGGGAGCCTGGGGGCCAGGGGTACTTAATCCCTTGTCCTCCCCCCAGGGAGAAACACAGTTTTCCCCACTGAAGAAGAAAACGATTTTCTTGATGAGAACACGTCCTGGGGGAGGGAGCTGACTTTCAAGGGTAGACAAGGCCCCAAAAGACCGGCAGGTGGGGATGGGACCCTTAGTCCAGGCCTGAGCCCCAGCACTGCCGCCTTGGCCTCTAGTGGCTTGTGAAGAGGCTACTAACATGCTCACCTTCAGACTCTGGCTGGCCCTGAGGTCACAAACTGAAGGACCTCAGCTGCATGGCTGTAGTAGAAATGAGCAAGTGGGTTTCCCTGTCCTTCACGAGGAAACCCTGTCCCCCTTATAATCGTCTGCCTGAGCCCAGGGCTCTCTCCAGCTTGGGAAAGTCTCTGAGCCCTCGATGGTATTGATTCATTAATTTATGTATTAAACCGTAGGAGACACAGGTGAATTCCACAGAGTCCATGGTCTCATGGAGTCACAGCCTTGATGGGGAGACAGACATGTAGATAGAGAAGAGCAGTGGAGCGGGGTGGGGGTCCAGATGAGATGAACCGCGGACTGGAAATGCAGAAGAGGGCCCCCAGCCCACCTGGGGTGTCAGGAAAGACTCCGAGGAGGTGACGGCCAAGGCAGCATCAGAGGATGAGTCACAGAATCCACTTCAGTTCAGCAGATATTTATTGCTGACCATGTGTGCGTCCAGGTGCAGGAGACGCAGAGAGGAGTCAGCCACAGCCCTGCCCTCTGGGGGCTCCCCAGCTAGCTGGGAAGACAGAGGCATGAACAGGCTTGGACAGTAGAAAAGCAAGAGCTTACACGTGGTGGGCGTTTCCCTATGCCAGGCACTGCTCTTGGCACTTTGCAGATATTGTATCCTCCACGAGACCCCTGTGACCCACATTCCACAGATTGAGGAAAGCGGGGTATGGAGACATCAAGGCATGATAGGTGCTAGGCTGGGGGTGCTGTATAAAGTACAGGAGGCTCGTGAAGGTTGAGGGAACGGAGGACTCAGGAAGAGTTACAAAGGTGAGATCTTGGGCCAGGTTTTGAAGGATGAATAGGAGTTTTCTAGGTAGTCCTAGGAGAACAGAAATAACGGCACACTCAAAGAACAGAGATCCTGCAACATCCTAAATACCAAGCCTCCTTGTGTAGGCAGTGGGGGGCAGGAGTATAGAAGGTCCAAGGGAAGTTCTCTTGAGGGGAAGCTGCAAGGCTGGCTGAAGCCTGCTGACATGGAGCCTTGAATGCCATCTAAAGCATATGGCTTGGCCACGGGCAAGGGGAAACCGCTGGAAGGTATTAATCATGAGACTGGTGTACATTCATTCAACAAATATTTATTCAACATTTACCCGATGCCAGGCATTGAGAATGAAGTAGTAGGTAGTGGGGCAGGGGAGAGGAGGGGCAGGGAGGCTGGACCTAGGAGAGGGTCCTCAGCCCGCAGTGAACATCAGCATTGCCCGGAGTCGTGCAAAACAGATCGCTGGACCCTGTCCTCACTTTCTGATTTGGTGGGCTTGGGGTATGGCCCAAGAGTCAGCATTTTTTTTTTTAATTTTTTTTATTTATTTCTAGGAGAGAGAGAGAGATGGCGTGAGCAGGGGAGGGTCAGAGAGAGAGAGGGAGACACAGACTCTGAAATAGGCTCCAGGCTCTGAGCTGGCAGTCAGCACAGAGCCCGACGCGGGGCTCGAACCCGCGAACTGCGAGATCATGACCTAAGCGAAAGTCGGACGCTTAACCGACTAAGCCACCCAGGCGCCCCAAGTCAGCATTTTTTTTTTTAATGTTTTACTTATTTCTAGGAGAGAGAGAGAGAGAGCGTGAGCAGGGGAGGGTCAGAGAGAGAGGGAGACACAGACTCTGAAATAGGCTCCAGGCTCTGAGCTGGCAGTCAGCACAGAGCCCGACGCGGGGCTTGAACCCACGAACCGCGAGATCATGACCCAAGCAAAAGTCGGACGCTTAACCAACTAAGCCACCCAGGCGCCCCCCCCGAGTCAGCATTTTTTATAAGTTCCGAGACTGTGCAGACTCTGCTGGCCCTGGGACCATGGTGGGAGCATCGCTCTGCTGATTTTCACACTCAGCCACACGTTAGACTCACAGTGCCAATCAAATTAGACTGTCTCAAAGTGGGAGCCAGGTGTGGCATTTAAAAAGACTCTTGAATGCTGACAAAAACTGAGGACTGATGGATGTGGGGGGGAAGGGGGGATGGGCATGGAGGAGGGCACTTTGGGGATGAGCACTGAGTGTTATGTAGAAACTAATTTGACAATAAACTATTTGTAAAAAAAAAAAAAAAAAAAAAAAAAAAAAAACTGTCCCTGGGTGATCCGAATGGCTGTCTGTGTTAAAGAACCCCAGAGAGGAGGGTTGGTGGGGCTGAGCCAAGCCATCTGGAAACTTATCTGCATGTGGTGGAAGCCCCGGGGGCGGGGGCTGGTGTAGGGAGGGGAGAGGTGTGATCTGTTTTCATTCTGGAAAGATCCTTCTGGCAAAGGCAACAGGAGGGTTATTGGGATCAGTGGTCTGAGGCAGTCCCAGGGACACCCCGGTGGCCTTGAGGATAATTCCACCTCCCCTCCCATATGAGCTATGCATTGCTGGGCAACAAATTATCCCCAAATTTAGTGTCTTAAACCAACCAACGTTTATCATCTCACACAGTTGTTGAGTGTCAGAGAGTGCGGCCTGGGATGGGATTAGCCGATGGTTCCACCTCTGTGTCCCCATCAGGGACCGCGGGAACCTGCAGCTGTCGGAGAGTTTGGATGGGGCTGGAGAGTCCCTTCCTGACAGGCACGCACACGGCTGGTGGCCGGAGGCCTCGGGTCCTCACTGCACAGACGTGTCCTAGTATCCTGACGTGGCAGCTGTCTCCTGCCCAAGGTGGGGGTGGGGGTGAGGAGGAAGCTCCCACCTGCTCTGGAATTGGAGCACCCACGGGGAGTGCTTTTTCCTTTTCCCTTGGGAACTGTTCCTTCTGTGAGTGGGGCCAGTGTCACGAGAGGGGTCCAGGCACCCTGGAACAAGGGCTTCAGAGAGACGGGAAGACTAAAGCGGGTGGAAGGAAGCTAGCCGAGCCCCAGGATTTCGGTGGGGTTCAGGCACCAAGACGCCCGTTTGGTTTAAGCTGCTCTCCCTGCATCCGGCCAGGTGAGTGTGCAGCAAGCAAGGGCTGGTGCCACCCATGTAGCTGAGGCGTGTGAGGACACTAGTCCGGGCGGGTCTGTTTCTCCAGCAGCCCGCGGGCACCCAGAACGACGACCTGAGCCGGCCATTCCCCTCGGGTCAGCCTTCTGTGGCCAGCATTTTGCAGGCTGCTGCTGGAGGAGCATTCTGGTTCCGCCTCCGAGGCAAGAGGGGCTGACGAGGGCTGATCCTAAACCTCTCCCTTCACCCCTACCCTCTGCAGCCAAGGGCAGGCCTTGCCGTTTCATCTGTTTACAGAACAGTGTCCACAAGAAGTCCTTTTTAGGAAACAATCCCAAGGCTAAGGAGAAAATAAGTCAAAAGACTTGCAGTGCCTGGAGTTTTGTTTTGGTTTGGTTTGGTTTGTTTTAGGAAAAGGAATTTTTTCCTTGGCTGCATATGTGACCAAGGGGATAGGAGTCCCTGCCTCCTCCCTCCCTTCCAGCTCTTCTCAAGGGACATGGGGGCATCATTCCTAGGGGATAGTTCTGGAATGCAGGGGCTGGACTCTGGAGATGTGATCAGGGCAGGGCTCTCGACAGGGAGGTGCAAGGGGGTGGGTTGGGACAGAAGGACCCTAGGCTTGGAGGGGCGCGCGCGCGCGTGTGTTAAGTGCCACGCATGGAAGTGTATAAGGTGGGTGTCAGTAGGACACGGGGCGGCTTTGTGGGCAGGTGTATGGGGATGACGGCAGGTGGGTGGTCCCCGCGGGTCCTTGTCCCCAGAGCCCTCCCACTGCCCCGGGTCTCCCGTTGACTGGGTGAGCCTCCGTGTGCCGGAGACTGGGGGTCTGCGTGGTGGTAGCCGCCCTGGACTGACAGCAGCCTTCCCCAGGGGTTACCTGTATGCCGGGCTGGAGTTCGGTGCCGAGTGCTACTGCGGCCACAAGATCCAGGCGACAAACGTGAGCGAGGCGGAGTGTGACATGGAGTGCAAGGGCGAGCGCGGCGGCGTGTGCGGCGGCGCCAACCGCCTGTCGGTCTACCGGCTGCAGCTGGCCCAGGAGTCTGCGCGCAGGTGTACGTGAGTTGGCCCCGCCCCTGTCTGCGAGTCCTCTGCGCAGGCCCGGCTGCCCCCTGCCCTGCGCCTGCTGCGGCTGCCCAGCCCTCCCCACCGCCGAGCGCCCGCCCATCTTCCACCGCAGCGCTTGCAGAGCCCTGTGATCCGTGGACTTCGAATGTTGCCACGCGCTGTGTCCCCGCCCTCGCACCCAGAGCTGCCTCCTGTCCCACCTTCTGACCTCCTCCTTCCTGTCTTCCCACTTGACAAAGTGAGCCAGAGCCTGAGCTCGGCCTGCCTTCCTGGCTTTCTGAAAGCATACTGTGCCTAATGATGATGCAGACCAAGATAATGACCGTAACACTTGGGCCTTTTCAAAGTGCCTTCTGTGGAGTAGCACATCCTCACGGTGACCCTGGAGACAGGCGCTGTTATTCTCTGACTCCCATTTTGCAGGAGAGGAAACCGAGGGTCAGGGTCACATAAGCAGCAGAGGATTAACACCAGTTCCAGAGCCCACGTCTTTAGCGCTCTGCTGCAGTCTTGTTGGACATACTCTCCAGTTTCCACATGGAGGGAGGGAGGGGAGTGAGCAGGAGACCATGGATGCTGCCCCTTCTTCCGCAGACATTGTCCCATTGTCCCACCCTCCTGGGTGCTTAGTAACAGTTAATGTCTGTTTAGCAGGAATCTGCTGTGTGCCAGACACCATGCCAAGGTCACCACAGGCCCAGTTTCCTTTCTCTTCCTTAACAGCCTCTGTAAGTGGCTACCAGTGTTAATTATTCCACCGAGGAAACTGAGGCTTATGGAGTTTAAGTAAACCTTCCCAAGGACGCACAATGTATTTATTTATTTATTTTTTAATTAATTTTTTTTTACAAATAGTTTATTGTCAAATTAGTTTCCACATAACACTCAGTGCTCATCCCCAAAGTGCCCTCCTCCATGCCCATCCCCCCCTCCCCCCCACATCCATCAGTCCGCAGTTTTTGTCAGCATTCAAGAGTCTCTCATGGGACGCACAATGTATTTAAAAGTGACCTGCAAGCCTCTGAACATTGCTGACGACCTTGACAAGAGATGGAGGACTAGCGTTCTCCCAGATATCCTTCTGATGCAGTCCCTGAGGCAGGGACAGGAACCCACAGCCACGTCTCTAACCCTTGGGCCAGCGCTTCCCCAATTTGAATGTGCCCATGAACCCTACAGAGATGTCGGTACAGTGCACTTTATGATTCAGCCAGTCAGGGTGAGATTTTGCATTTTGAAGAGCTCCCGGGTGATGCTAGGCTGCTGGACAGGGACCACACTTTGAATAATAAGACCTCAGACCTCAGCAGAACTGACACCGCCTACCCAGAATGTTCTCTGCCCACATGGGCGGGCTTGGCAGAACGTAGAGAGAGGCATTTTCCACGGGAATGCCATTGTCGATGACAATTCCTTGTTGCTCTGCTTGATCATGTGTTCTGTTTTCCAAATCCTGTTCTCGAGGCCTTACTCAGGCTTTGCTCCACAGTAGGGTGGAGCATGTTGCCAACTTGCAGAGGTGCTGATTGTGGCTGATGGGTGCACCGTCTTGCCTCCCCACAGGCACCTCTTCACCCCCGGGGCTGGAGTCCTGCCTGGCAGAGGTGGCATGTGAAATCCAAGCAGGAGAATGGCCACCTGGCGACTCTGTCATTTGGCCATTAGTGTAATGAGGTTTTAATTTGATGGCGGATTTACCATCCTCACACTGATCCCTTTATGCCAGTATTTATGTTATTTTGATGGTGACTTTGACTATGTGAAGAGATGGCCCTAGAATCATGGATATTTAGTGAGAAGGCTGCTGCCGCTACAACATCCTAGTGGATGACGATGGGCTGGACAAGAATAAGTCCATGTAGATCATTAGATATCAGCCAGACCTACTTTTGGTTAACATTCAGATTGGCTGGATAGTCTGGACATATCCTCCCTTCTTCCCTCCCTCCCTCCCTCCCTCTCTCTCTCTAACACACACACACACACACACAATTGTAATCACCTGATATGAAGACCACTGTCACAGACCATTAAAGATTTTCAATCAGCTGAAATAGACAAGCCTCAGGGCACAAAGACAGTAGATTCTGTACAAGAATCTTGTGGCAGTGGGAGAACTTGGTGGGTGCTGCAGAGCTGTCCCTGAGGCTGGCAGGGATATTCCTACACCCCTCAGCTTACCCACCTTGGCAGCAGAAGAGTTACCCAGTATGGTGTCTTGTTCCATCTGAGAAAGGAGTCTTTTATATTTATGTCCAAGAGGGGGACATAGTCATGTCTACTGAGGGTAGAGTCCAGGCTTCTCTAAGTCCACCATGTATGTCATGAATCAGCACTGTACAAGGCTCGAAGCTTGGGCACCTTCAGCTGGAGATTCCAGAAGGAAATTGAAGCATTATTAACTTCAAGGCTGCTACGGCTGAGATATGAACAGAAGTGGCTTGGATAAGGAGAAGGATGGTTGACAACGTGCCAAATTGAGACTCCTGGTGGGCTCCCATTTGGCACCATGGTATCTGGAGAGAGCATGGGGACCATGCACTGAACCAAAACACTTGATGAGCACCCACGTGGATTAAGCATGAAGAGAATGAGTGGAGAACAAAGCACGGGCTGTGTCCTTGGGGAGCTCACCGTCTAGCGGAGAAACAGACCCAGCACCAGTGGGGTCTGTTTTAGCATGGGGGTATATATCGGGGAATGACAGGGGCTCTGTCTACAGGAGCCAAGGGAGCAACATTTGGGCGGGATCTCATTCTAAGGAGACTCCTGGATGAAAGGGAGAGCTGTATATTCCAGCCATGAGCAAAAAGTCCAGGGTCAGCCAAGGTCATGTCTTGAGTGTCCTGTTAAAACATCTTCCTTGCTGATGTCCCATTTTACAGCTTTAGGAACTGAAACTCTGCACAGAAGAGGGCTGTTTGATTAGGGCCTGAAAGATGCCTGGGATTTTTTTCCCGGTATAGAAGAGGAAGATATCCAGACTGAAGATGCCAAGGGGTGGGAGGGAAGTCCAGGCAGAGGGAATAGGGTGTGCAAAAGCCTAAAGGTAGCTTCAGGAAATGATGGTCAGGCATGACTTTTCCAAGGCCGAAGTGCTTCTTAGGGACTGAGCTTGAGCTGGAACCCTGCTCCCTGACTGCTAGCTTGGGTGCTCACTCACTACAGTGCTATTGACACCTTGATCTCTTGTATTGGATTCGGGACCTCATCTCCTCTCTTTTGGGAGAACTCCTTGGATCTAGCTTACCTTCTTTCCCTGACCTCTGATCTCTCCTTCAGCCCCATTTGCTGACTCCAAGCAAAACAGAATTGCCAGTGTCTTTGTGACTGAGTCAGAATCCATTGGCACCTTTGGATTCCCATTCCTGGATATGATTTATACACAAATAAATCAGGAAGAGAGGCCTTCCAAGTTACTGGTACATGACACTAGCATGTATTACACCAGGCAGGGAAATGAGTAAACACACCAGGAAACGGGTATGGTGGAAACGAGATTCCATTTGTAGAGTCATTAGTTGGTATTAACAGCACATCTTAATTGTGTTTCCCTGAGCAGTGGCACGGAATTCTTAATGATTAGAAAGATCCAAAGGAGGCTTACTGTCTCCAAGCACTGCTGCTGGGGTGTATGCCTTGCATAGGGAGGCAGCCTACATGTTTCCGAGGTGATGGAATGCGCCTACAGTAGTGAGAGCATTAAAAGGTTAGCAGAGCAAATGTCTGCAGGCACCCTGCTATTCTTCCTTGACACAGACTCTCAGGCACGTGGACTCTCTGCCCTTGTTACAAAAGAACCGAGAAATGGACTTCCTTCTTGGTTGGATTACATTTTTCACAGCAGTTTGCTAAATGTGTCAGCAAGTGTAGCTCTCCTCCCAGGGGCAGAGACCTGCCAGTGATTTGAGAACATTATGGCTTTATAGGGTGTTGCAAGAAATTTCATTTGCTTGAAAGATTCTTGCAAGATCTGTGTCAGAAGGCTCCTTAGAACTACATCAAACGTTCTGTACATGTTGAGCCCATTGGGTGGCTGTCCATGGTGCTGACCGTCCTTTAGTGCAGCCTAAAACCCCCGTTAACTGCAGGCAGACCAACTTCTCCCAGGATTCAACACCTTTTCCGCTTGTTTGCTTGCTTGTTTGTTTTGTGTCTTCGTGAAAGTATTATGAAGCTTACAATATCATGGAAAAAAAATAGATCTTTGACTTACGGTTCACAATTTACAAAGTGTATTTTGTGTACTATTAGTCATGGCAATTTTTTGTCTTTGAAAGTTAGAAGGGGAATTTTGTGCAATACTTGTGTTATGCTCTCTGATGCTCTATTCTAGCCACTTCTGCCAAGGGGAGCCTCAGATGTTTGTGGAAAGTCACACTGGATGGATGGACCATGCCTAGGTCCTCCTTTGCCAGTTCTGGAGGTCTCTCCTTCACCTTCATAGGTGCCCAGGACCCCTGAATTTTATAATTTATATTGATCTTCATGAGTTCTGCTGTGTCGGGTCAAGGAGATGATAGTTAGAAGAATTTCCTCCTTCTGCATCTTGATGGGGGAGAATTGGCTTGCTCTTCTGCCTTAAGCAGAGTCCACAAAGTCTGTAGGGGCAATGCAGCTTTTGAAATCAGGCAGACCTTGTTTCTATCCCAGCCTTCTCGCTTACTTGCCGTGTTGACTCAAGCCAAGTTGCTTACTCTCTGAGCCTCAAGTGCTTCATCTGTAAAATCAGGACAGTTCCAACCTTTAAAGATTGCTGTGACCACCAAGCGAGATAAAATCGAGAAAGCACATAGCACAAGATTATTGAGCAGTTGTGATGCCCCTTTCTTCCTAAAATGAAAACTCCTTAGTGCACTCCACGTAGCACCCAATTCAAGCCATTTGAATTTGCAACAGCCCTCAGGAGCCTTTGGTGCTGCCTAAAAATAACCGGTTTGAATTCTTCTCGGACAGTTGGGCTCTTTGTGTAATTCAATCTCTCTCT